GTAATGAAAGCCGAGCTGGCAGACGAATGCAACTATGTTCGGGAGGCAGGTTTCTTACAAAAATTTCGTTCGCCAGAGTTCCTAGGTATACAAATCAGTTACTTGCCATGTATGACAAAGAGACTGACCGCTCAATTAGGATCTGATTCTCGCTTCCACATACCATGGGCTAGCTCAGTCTCCACCGACAAGGTTCTTATCATGGAGTACATTGAAGGAGGGATCAGTCTTGGCTCAGAGCTAGTGATGGCGTTACCACAGGAAGAAAAAGATAAGGTTCTTTGATTCTTCAAGTTGACTTAAGTGGCGTTTGTTAATCAAGTTTTCTGCAGATTGCAACGACAATTCTTCACTTGTGTCTCCTGGAGCTGTTCCGTTTCGGAGCGATGCAAACCGACCCCAACTACTCCAACTTCCTTTACCTTCCCGGTATGTCTTCATATCACCCAGTTTTGATTATGAATTTACGCCGCTTTTAGACTCGGGCAAAATTGCGCTTGTAGATTTCGGTGCTACAAGAGAATATAGCTCAGAGTTTTTGGACGGCTGGCGGCGATTACTCGAAGCCGCAGCCTCCCTCGACCTCAACGACTCCCCGGAAAACTATAGCTCCGCTTGGGATGCTTGTGTTCAAGAGAGCATTTCGCTAGGCTATCTTATTGGAGGTCCAGGCGAGGGCTTGGGCTTCGAGTCTCCTGAAATGGTCAGAGCCCATGTGACAAGTCTGGGTATATTGGCATACCCATTCAATGCCAGGACCTCGCAACCTGTACGCTTTGGGAAGGGATCTGAGTTTGGGCGAAACACCGAGCGGATACGAAATGAGCTCATACCCATTATGTTGCGGGAGAGGAAGAAAGGGCCTCCGAGGGAGACGTATAGTCTGAATAGAAAATTGAGTGGAGCGTTTTTGCTTGCTTCGAGACTAGGAGCGACAGCGAATGCAAAAGATATCTGGGACGATGTGCTCGGAGGACATTAATATTGTATTGTAGTGCTTGATACTTGAATCCTATTTTCCCGCATAGAGTAGCTGCCTCATCATATTCCATGGTTAGGGTCTGGACTGTCCGGAAAGCGTCTGAAGCATTCGTTACCTGATCCTCGCCAGGCGCAGCCTAGATCATAGAAGGTGATAGCGTCGATCAACTGCATCGGGAATTTGGATACTTTAGCACCAATATCAATATCTGCAGCTTGGCCACGAGGTTATGTGGAAGACTTTGGAAGATTCCCTTGGAGTGTGGTATCTCTCGGCGGACCTCTCTGAAATGTAAGTGAGAAGTTTGAACTCGGACGCCGGACACCCAACCATCGGCAACAACGCGAAATGTCACCATCACGTGTGTCACGACCCTCTCTTCCGTGATAAAGCCGCAGTCCCCAGAAGGTGAGTGAATTCATACTAGTAGGCATATCACATACTGCATAATGGACGCATATAGGTATCAAGTCATGGGATATAATGAAGATGCTGGGGTATCGATAATGAATAAGGAGCACGAAACGAACAGTCAGCACTGCTTGGCCGAATGGTCGCTGTTCATCTAAGCACCCAGCCACCTTCCTTTATGTACTCCGAAATTCGGAAAGCATCTTCAATCTGTTCGTCCGATATCTCGTCGGATTGGTCGTCGGATAGCGCTCCATCAGGATCCACCTCTTGGTCAGGCCCATCCTCTTCGAAGATGACACTGCCTCTCCTCCAAAGGACAATCTTCGCAAGCTCTTCCATAGCCTTGTCGAGAGCATCCTCGACATTCCCTTGTGGCTCGGATTGTATATCCTGGATGTCAGCCCAGCGCTGGCAGCTTCGTCCCGCAAGTTCCCGTTCAAGCTCGGACTGAGCTAGCTTCTGAGTAGCTCTATCCAGGGAATCCCAAGCGTTATCATCCTCATATTCTGGGATAACATCCTGATTATCAGACAGAATAGGCCCTGGGCCGCCCTCGGTTAGCTCACGTTTTAGTTCACGTAAAGCTAGCTCGCGGGTGGTTTTGACGAGAGCATCTGTCTTCCTGGATTTTTGATTCTCCTCCTGAAGACGCGCTGTCTTTTCAGCTAGCTCCCTTTGGCGGCTTAGCTCACGCTGCATGTTAGCACGGGCAGTTTCCTCGAGGTGGGCAATGTAATTGGAGAGATCGAGGCGATCGGCATCGTCAAAGGAACGGGAACGTCGTACGCTTTTGGCACGCCTATCCTGTGCGTGACGCGAGCTGGCGCTGTCACATCCCAAGAGACTGCCAAATGTCAGGTTGGTTTTGCTAGCAGTGGTAGATGACGTCTTGATGCTAGAAGAATTGGATGTGCTGCAGCTGTTTCTGCGACGTCCAAAATAGAACAGAGAGCTGGATCTGGGAGGTGCATCTCGAATCTCTGCTGAGACAAGGGTGGAAGAACTATCGATGAAGTTTGTGAAGGGAGAAGGAGGCTCTGCTCGAGGATCGGTATGCGGAGAGGTGAATGAAGAGGTAGATGAACTAGTCGTCAAGGTCGATGCTGTTGCTGTGCAACTGTCTGAAGATTGAATCAACTGCCAGACCTTCTTTTTCAACAGTTTTGCATAACTCTTCCTCTTCTTCCTCTTCTTCTTGGCTACTGCGTGTTTGGAAATTTCCTCTTCGACATCAGTTCCACTTTGACACGGGGAGGAAAGAGAAGAGGTTGACCGAGATCGGCGCGTTCGAGCCTCTTGTGGCTGAAATTCAACTGTGCAAGTACCTGCGCTGGGAGAGCAAAAGGTGACCTCGTTTTCACTTTCACCGACGCAGGTCATGTATCTGTTGGGAGTTTTGAGACTGGGAGCACGGGTGGCGCGATATGTGGACTTAGTTTCCAAAGGTGAAAGCATGAAGAGATATCCAAGACGATTCCAAGTGAAGGCCCAACTCATAGTCATATTTATATCAATTGTGGTAATTTTCCGCACGAATAATGACTATCCACGCATGGCAAATAATTTTCTTTCTTTTACAATTGTCCGCCGGCTGATCTGCCATATTTAGGTTCATGTATTTCCAGTATTTATACGAGAACGAAAACAAAACGCATCAGTATTAAATAATGAAAATCGGTATTCCTCGAGCAGACCTGTCATGCAAATGCGTTCAGCCAATTTGAAAAGTACAGTTTGTAGGAGATAAAAACTGGAAATTCTGACTGGATTCGGGATAAATTTGATTTAACATGCTCTGCAAGCATACAGAGTTTGTTTCCATGAACAAATTCTATATTTTGCCAAGAATGCTGCTTCAAGCTCGCGTGATCGCGTTGCATCACGAGACATTACATATCGCGTTGAAGATCGGACTAGCCTGGTTTAACCATTTACTTCAATTAGTCCTGGGTAGTGGATCTGGCGTACAAGCGCCCCGCTTTTGTCTTCAGCGTGTTAAATCCAATGTATCGTGGTGGTTATTTTTGTAATGGAGATCAGCTTTTTTTCGTCGTGAGTGTCCAATGGTTGAGACTCATCCGTTCTGTTTGCATCCGCAGCAAGAAGTGACAAGATAACTACTATCTATTAAAAAGTGCAAGTATCTAGTATAAAGCAAAGTCCTTGACAGTCGCGAACAACTCCGTGAACTAAAATCGAATTTAGAAGCTACCAGACTCCAAAAGTCAACAATCATTGCTTCGTCTCCGAATCCTCATTCACACAGGCACTATGTTCAGTGTCACAGAATAGCACTGGATAGGGCTAGCACCTTCAACTCCAGACTTCGAGGGAATTGTTTGAGTATTGAAGTACACGACGTTTTGGGCGACTGCCGTCGTCGGGGAATCGCTTGGGCACAGATACCACAAATCCGTACTCCCATTGTAGGCAAGAGCTGCGAAGTCGCTGCTAGCGGAGAGGGTGACCGCGGAGAAATTTGTGTTGGCAGGACTGGAGTAGAAGCTGCTAGTACCCCAAACCAGTGCATCGCCGGAGCCAGTACTGGCATTGGTGTGCCAATTACCTTGCGCGTCAAACGCGCGAAGGTTGCCACCTACGAGGCCAAGAGAAGGAAAGCTATTGTACCCAGTAGAAGCATAAGTCTGCGGAGCGCGAGTCAGCTGCTAATAAAGCAAATGCAGGATATCTCGTACCGCGGTTTCTTGAAACGACTCTCCATCGATGGCGCCTGAAAAGATGGACATACCCGACTGAGTATCAGATATATTTGTGAGCAGTAAAATAGAGACCCACCCGCTGAGGCCAGAACAAGAGGGACTCCAGTCGTGTTGGCATTCGGAAGCGTGTTGTTTAAGGCAGCCAGCGTGAAATTATTGGCTGCTGTCAGCGTGCTGGAACGTGCAAAAAGCTGCACAGGTGTAGCGGCCACAAAGTTAGTGGTGAGTAAGGCCGCCAAAAGAGGAGCGAATAAGGATCGAGGAGTGAACATCTTTAGAAATGGACAAAGAATAAGATTAGACGACTGTAAGAGGCTGTAAGAGGTCGAAAGAGAACGGAAGCTGTTAAGCTATTATCCAACTATAAGCAGGGATTCCAGCTTATATAAATACACTCGGAAAAATATTCAGCTTGCAACTGAGGTAGGGATAGATCCATTATCAAGGAGATCAGTACCGCCTGACGCAGGGTCAGTTTGTCTTACCGAATCGCCGCACCGCAAATTGTTAAATTCATCGTTATTCTCGCACAAGCAGGTGAGGCAACCGTCCATGCGTTCATGCAAAACTGGGGAAGGCCAAATAAGACCGTGCAACGGGGATCGACAGATTCCGAGTCCGTAGATTTACATAGCTACCTTTGTTGGGACAAATTGCGAATTGTATGTTGACGGAAATACGCCAAGCGTAAGATCATCGTCAGTGTCAGAGAGTAACGCCGGTAAAGCTGTGCTTGGGGATACTGAATATCTCACTGGTTTTAATTTGAGAAGACCTCACTGACATGCTGACCTCTGTGAATGGAAGCATAAAACGTAATGGCATATATGAAAGAACCAGATAATGGGGATGCAGGATGGTGTAAAAATAAAAATAAAAGTATTAGGTCTAACCAGGACTCGAACCTGGGTTATGGGAAACTTTGAGAAATCTTAGACAGTCAAAATCCCATGTGCTAACCTCTACACTATTAGACCACATGGTGGAGGGGTAATTGAGCAATATTTGTACTTGAGCAACGTCTGTAGACACCACCTGTGTCATTCATGTGGTACGGTTGGTTCTTTCATCTTCCTCAAACTAGTGACACAAGCACCACAGAGATGGGCCTCAGAATCCATGGAGTTTCGAGCAAACTACAGAATAATTGATTTCATATTCCAAAGATTATGTACTACCAGTGAGTCTATACTACACAAATACAAGAAATATTTTAGAGCGACATGTAATAAACGTAAAATGCGATATCAGTCCGTCAAAATGTAGATATCTAGTGTACTGTTAGGTGTCCGTGAGTAGCAAAGGTCCAATGAAAATCCCCAAAATCCAAAGGAGTGAATAGAGAAAGAGAGCGTAAAAATGTCCAATTCTACACGTTAGAGCGATAGATAACCGAAAACAAGTAACGCAGGCCAAAAACCGGAATAACTCAAGCTGAACTGTGACATGCTCCCACTCTCCTGCGTACCGGTACTATGGCTACTCTGGTTGTTGTTATTTGAGGCCTGAATGATGTTCGAGGTTGGCAATGTGTCCGGTGCCTGGACGGATTGCTGTCCGAGCTGTCCTGACCCAATCATCACTTGAACGCCGACAGAGGGAACACCATTCACAACGACGAAAAGAAGTGCAGGACCTGGAGCAAGAATGGCGGGGTTTGGAGGAACCTGGTTCACATGTAAGACCGCGGTGTTGTTGGTGGCATACGCAGTGTAAGTTGACTCGAGTTGAACAAATCGTTGTCCCATGTTCTGTGAATATGCAACCGCATGAGTAGATAATGGAAGATAAAGGATAATAATCGTACCAGGGCATGGGTCGAGAAGCCTGGTCTAATGATGATTACAGTGGCATTGGTTACATGGGTCACATCCCCGAAGAGATCATCCGAATTGAGGGAAATGTCAAAACGAGGTCCTCCATATGAGAGCTGCTTTGGTAAGCCAACGGGTTGAGGTCTCCGTTGGTTGAAATAAGACGGATAAAACCTTTCTACTCTGTACTCGGTGGGATATTTGACGTCAGGGCCGACGTTGTAGTCGCTGTTGGGGTTTGATCCACTGACGAGAATAGAACCTAGTGAAATGTGAGTTGTATGCAATAAGGTACGTTCTGAGCCTGAGGAAGCTCACCATCAGGTAACAAGATGGCCGAGGAATGATATAGCCGAGGAATAGTGCTCGGAGATAAACCTTCACTCGACCATCGTTTACCAGCAGGAGCATCGGGGTCATAGATCACCGGTTGCAAGACAGGGTTGTCGCCAAAAGACTGTCCAATAGCCCAAGATACGTTGCCATACCCAGCAGTCCCTGGGGGCAGATCAAGACAAATGTTCAACAGCAAACTACAAGTGGAGACGGACCTGTTCGTACGCCATTCAGACAGACGATCTTGCCGTTCGGAAGGAAAATCAGGTTTGCCATGGAACGACCAATTGGAAGAGGATCATCTTGAACATAGGAAGACGAAACATCCGGTGTAATCTTGACACATGAAGTCGAAGCAGGATATGCGGCGATATCCCAATCCGTAGTCCATCTGAACAGCTCAATCAACCTCGGAAGTGTTTATCGGTAACAAAAGGCGCTCACTGGCTTGGTTGGAGGTTTGTCCCGCCGCAGAACAAGATTGTGGAAGTCCAGTTGTTATTCGGAGTGAGAGGCATCATAACTGTCCCGGCGCTTGCGGGATACGTACGCACTGCATCGGGAATGTCATCGAGCGGAGTCTCCTGCTTGGTATGGTAATCTAAAAGAACGGTCTTCCAGTTGGACTGTAGAAGAAGCTTTCCTGAAGGCAGAAGCCATGTGAGCGGGTATAGATTCGTAGGAAGAGTGTTCTGAAGGATTGGAGAAGTTGTCGGTGGACCTTGACTCGGAAAGAATTCATAAGTCGGATTATCCTGTCCCGCGTCATTGACAAATCCGCCGTTATTGCAACCACCCAGAATGATTACTGAACCATCTTCCAAAGTTTCTCTGGAGAAAATTAAGAAATAGAGGGTGGCAGAAAAGGGAAAGACATTCACACTGTTGGATACCATCTCCGCGTCGTCATTGGCGTGCCCATGACCCAGTTACAAGACTGATCATCGCAAGGGTTGAGCATCCTTATCCTGTTGCATACACAAATTAGTTTCGTATTTTCAGAAAGAAAACGAAGAGTACTTACGAGTTACGGCCATCCGGATCTTGGTAGGGACCATTGCTCGAGGGGTCGTCCCAGTTAGCACCACCGTACGTGATCGGTTGATTTCCACCGATGTTAACCCAAGTTCCGTTGCCGAGAACGTTTCCTCCGGCGCAAAAAGAGTTTGTGATAACATCCATCGGAGTGGCCTTCTCAGTAGAAAGCGAGTATTCTAGAAACGCATAAGAGAGGGCAAGAAACCGTAGATGAGAATTTGACACACGAGAACCCCACGCAGGATGACCGTTAATTTGGGCCGGATTGTTTTCGACCTTGTCCACGATAAAGACTTTGTCCAAAGTACCCAAGAACATCTGCAAGATCGAGTTTATTCGACGCTCTGGGGATCGTTTTTGCTAACGTTACCTGTTGAGCGCTGACTACACTGTCTCCAACGATTTCAAACTGCCCCACATTGCCGGAATGAAGTGGTTGACCGGAGGAAGTAGTTGTTGAAGACTGTGCAAGAACATGGCCGATGAAAGCCAGGACTGGGACGAAAGTCCTCGTCATTATCACGAAGAAAAGAAGGAAAGATAGAAAAAGTTACCATGCAGAAGTCGAACGTATAATATAACCACCGTCTCACTTCAAGGGAATAAATGACCGCGATCGGAGTGATCGGTAGTGCTAATGAACAATATGTGGCGAAGCGGGTACTTTAGTGCGGACTGTACATTTCTTCAAGCGCCTCTTCCAATGGCATTCAAATGCTGTATACTTAGACCACGTTGAAGCCTGTCGGCAATGAGCATAGTAAAGTAGTGGCCCGTTGGCTGCTATCGGAACTTGGACCATACCTTGCGTGGAATAGAAGGTGTTGTTTCAAGATGACATCTGAGAGAACGGCCTCCCTTGTTCCGAAGACCTAATTTCATTAGTTTGAGTGCATTAGTTTGCTAAGAAAAGACATAGATGAGACTCACGGTAGTCGATAACTAAGTTAAACCAGAGTGTAAGTCACGTTATTCGTATTTCCTTTTAAAGCGCGGCCAAAGCTAGCCAAACCAAGCTTCTTAGAATCGTACCATCCTCATCGAACGAATATCACCAGAAATCCACAGGTTGTATGTATTTTCATCCATCTCATCCATGTATACTCAACCCTCAATCTGATATGCAGCTTCCCGTCCTCCGTTCTCTCCGCAATCAGCCCAGATGACTACACCAATCTTGCTCTGCCCCAACGAGACTCTCACGGAAATTTTCCGAGCATATATTAAGCTTCCGGCCTCCAAACAACATTCCCAAACGCCAAGTCATGCTCGTTTGCCTGCCGTGGTCCTTTTGTCTCATGTATGCGGTCAATGGAGGCGTCTGGTGAACGGAACACCCTCGCTTTGGTTTAGTTTGAGCATCAAAGTAGGGAAGACATATCCTGAAGTCGATTTGATTCGTTCATGGATCCAACGCGGCGGTTCTCGACCTTTCGATCTGGCCATCACAAAGACCCAGTCGAACATGGCCACCTCACGATTATCCACGACATACCTTGATTTTCTCGTCCAATTTTCCGCACGATTGCAGTCTCTGGATATCGATATGGATTTTCAATGCATCAAACATCTATTTGAATCTAAAAGCCTCCGACTTCCTTTGCTTAACAGTCTTCATCTTCAATCCACCGCGAAAGTTCACGCACGATCCGCCATACTTCGCTCTATCAAAAATGCTCCTCGCCTCTCTCATTTCACCTTCATTGCTCCGCAGTACTCACCCGAGGTTTTTATATACCTACCGGCTTCTTCGTCGATCACTACGCTGAACTTGTCTGGAATCTCCCGCGATCCTATTGAATTCCTAAACATTATTTTTTCTTGCCCCCTTCTGGAAACTTGCGAACTCGCTGTTCCTGACGTTGAAGAAAGCGATCTTCCGGAAGAAGCAATTATTTGGCTCGCGCATCTCTCTCAAATGACACTGCACTTCGTAGAGCTCACAGGATGTCCCGAATTTCTCGACGCTTTCACCTTGCCCAAGTTGACTTCTTTGACTATCAAGCATGATTATGTCAACCCGCATGTAACGAATCCTATCGCGCACCTTTCTGGTCTAATTGGGCGTTCCGAATGTCCTCTGCTTTCTCTTACTCTGGATTCTTTTCCGGGCATAACCCTGTGTTGTTTGGCGGGTCTTCTCATGGAGATCCCTACGTTGGAATATTTTTCCTTCATTGACTGCTTCCTCCACATTCCCAGCATTTGCAGTATCTTAGTTGTTAAACCTGACGACGGATTTCCTATTCTACCAAACCTACTCGGTCTTACCCTGTTGCAAAATTCTGAACTTGGTGCCTCGCTTGGACCTGTGTTTAAGTTTGACGATGGTATCAAAACCACCATCTTTGATGTAGCTCGATCGCGGTGGGAAGACCCATTGCTTTCTGACAAGGACGACATTGACGGCTTCTATGACGAGGTATACTCGAGGTATTCGAGGTATCGTATAAATGAAGATATAGAGCCTCTGCAGGAATTGACCGTGTCTAGCGGATTGCTTATGGGAACAGGAAGCCAATCGGATCGAGCGAAGTTGGAGGAACTCGAAACCCAGGGACTGGTGCTCGATATCATCTAACTCTTTCTCTGTATCACATGCCTGTTATAAAGTACTCGTTGCATCTGTTCTTCAGTCCTTTTTTTACAACGCTGATTAAGTTTGACACCGTCTCCCCTTCTCGTCCCTCTCCAATGATAATCGCAGCCATCTTCGTTTTAGGCTTTCTGTGTTGTAAACCGGCGGAACCAGACTGCATTTCCCTTTGTTCTTTACCTACTTACAGGTC